GGCTTTCATAGATGTATACATTATGTCTCTTACCTTTAATATGGTCAAAAAGGACTTCAATCAAAAGAGAATCCTTTGATCTGGAAATTCAAATCTTGTAGTCATTGTCTGGTAGGTGCCTGGCTAAACTTCAATTTTTGGTGTTTACTTTTTACTCTGGGAAGTTAATAGAAAATTAGTATACTCATCTGATTCCAACTCTAAAGTTGGAAAAAGGCCAATAACTTTTTTGGATTCAAGAAATAGCAAATCTTCTATGTACTTTGGTGTTGAAATAGACAAATAATATTGCTTAATGTGCTTTCTCACATGATAATCTGAATATGATGTGACTGACACAGCTGTGGAGCAATGACGCACGATGCTAAGTCATGCATGGACAGGCCACGCATATTAGGAGCAAAATGGACCGGAAAACATATTGCTCCTGATGAGAAGATAGAGCAGTTTGAGCTGGATTATGATGGTAAAAGGGATCGTTGGAATGGTTATGATGCTGCTTCTTATGCTCATATCATTGAACGATATGAAGCAAGGGATGAAGCAAGAAAGAAATACCTTAAAGATCAACAACTAAAAAAGTTGGAGGAGAAAAATAACAAAGAGGATGAAGAAAGAGGTGACAGCGAAGATGAAGATTTTGAAGATGTTTTGAAGGTAGATGAAGCCAAGGTTGACGAAAGCAAGCAGATGGATTTTGCAAAAGTTGAGAAGCGTGTACGAACCACTGGTGGTGGAAGCACAGGAACTGTTAGGTCTGTCTTCCTTAATATTTTTTCATCTTTGATCCCTTCCTGCCTATTTACTTTTGGGCTCCTGTTTTTTTTTTTTATTTGGTTGGGGGGGGGGGAATGAATGAGGGGTTAAATGAATGGCTGACTTGTACTATGTAGAAAGTACATAGTACACATATTGGTCTGAGTGCTACTTTGTCAAGCTACTGATGCTTCTGCATCGTCCAGGAATCTACGTATCCGGGAAGATACAGCAAAATATCTTCTTAATCTTGACGTCAATTCTGCACACTATGATCCCAAAACCCGGTCCATGCGTGAAGACCCTCTTCCAGATATGGATCCAAATGAAAAGTTCTATGCTGTAAGTGTACATTTGGTCCACCAAATAGTACTGGTTTTCATTGTTCATGTTTTTTGACCTAGTCATCCTTTTATGTTTCCTCTTATAGGGTGATAACCAAAATAGAGTTAGTGGTCAAGCATTGGAGTTCAAGCAGCTGAATATTCATGCTTGGGAAGCTTTTGACAAGGGGCATGATGTTCATATGCAAGCAGCTCCATCCCAAGCAGAACTGCTTTACAAAAATTACAAGGTTAACAAGGAGAAACTGAAGTCACAAACAAAGGAGGATATCATGGAGAAGTATGGTAATGCTGCCAGTGAAGAAATACTCCCGAGAGAACTACTGTTAGGTCAGAGTGAGAGAGAAGTTGAATATGATTGTGCTGGTAGGATTGTGAAGGGCCAGGTAATTCTTTCATCAAAGACTGCATAAATAAATTACTTTGCAAGTTTTAGGACACTGGATTGAATGGCATAACGTAATGGTATATATTAAATTACACTGAGATTGAAGCTTAATTGTTGTTGCAATTGCAAAAAGGTATCTGAGTTCATTTGGGTTCATTCTGCTTCATTCCAATCTCTGCTGGGTTTAGGTTCCCTTCACCTTTCAGTTCCAGCAACATAATAAACTTCATCACTATTTCCTACTTCAAGTATTGAGAGCAGAATAATTCAAGAGATCATCCTCTCCTTCCATCATATCTAGCAATCCAGTCTTCAATCATACGGCCTTGTTTACCTCGATTGAAGGCAATTCGACATCTTTTTTTATTTTGTCTTTTGAAGATGTGGGTATTTCTATTCTTCTCCTAACCAAGTTCATCCAAACTGGAAACAACTTGATATATAAAGAAATATTACTTATTAAACTCTCTGAGAGAATTATTCATTAAAGAATGAATGTATACTGATACCTCAAAGAAAACTATCATCTGCCTTTCATACAGCTAATCAGATTCAACACTTAACTATCCTCATTTACATAAACATCTGGACAGCACGGTAATTTTCAGATACCGTCTCCAAAACCTTCCCAAGTTGTTACGACTAATCTGTGTGACGCAAAGAAATACTTGCTCCATTTTCTGGGGAAACAGGATAGAACTAGAAATAACATTTATTAGGAACATTAAGTGTGGATAATGTCTATAAATGTTTCTAGATTCGTTTGTTTGGCATAACTTGTGAGTTGCTTGCTGTAGGAGATGTCTATTCCTAGGAGCAAATATGAAGAGGATGTTTTCATCAATAACCACACCGCAGTTTGGGGTTCATGGTGGAAGGATCATCAATGGGGTTACAAATGCTGCAAACAGACAATCAGAAACAGCTATTGTACAGGTGCTGCTGGAATTGAAGCAGCTGAAGCTTCTGCTGATCTTATGAAGGCCAATATTGCTCGCAAGGAGTCTGCTGAAGGTTAGTGTTCTCTATTGAAATTCAGGTTGCTACACCCCCTCGTTAAATCAATAGTATGTGCACTTTAATCATACTGATAATCCAGTTTCCTGATAATGGAACTTTCACAATTCTTTATTGTTTGATTTCAGATTTTATGATGCATATGATCCGATACCCAAGTCTCTAGTTTCTCAAATCCAAGTATTTCCCATGATACCCAACTGATTGGGAGTATCCTTAATATGTTTACTTTAGATCTTATGCTTTCTAGGAGTCTTTTAGCACTATTAGAGATTTTTACGCAATAGGAAAGATGGAGAACTGCTGGTATTTTTATTTTCTTTTATATTTATTACTTCATTTGAAGTTGGCTTGAGATGAATTAAAAGGGAAACCTAGTCAGTGAGGATTCATATAGCTGAGCCCAACTTGTTTGGGACGGATACAGTTGTTGTTTTGTCACTTTGTGTTTGAAATCTATGATCAGGATTCAGGATCAGATGTTGTGAATGTTTCGGGTCTTCTTACCTATAAATACAGAGCATTTATTTCGTAAAGACTGCTGAAATTTTGTCTGTCGTCCTCTTCGAAGTTTGGTCAAGAATTTGGTTATACTGGAATTAGCAACCTTCTACAGTTTTTCTTTGATGAAGAACAACCTTCTACAGTTTTTCTTGGGTCAGCAATGTAATATTAGAATTTGACATAAGTCAAAGGAGTTAACTTTCCTCCTTTGTTCAACCACCCTCTTTGTTCATTGTGTTATGAATCTACACACTACTGTGGGGGAATTGCGTATTTGATGACACAGAATTATCAGTGAAGTGTCTGATTTCCTAGCTTTTCTAATTCAAATGTGTACATGTTTTCCTAATGTGGCATGAACCCCGTATTTGAAGGTGGTTTTTTTTCTTACCTGTCACTTTGTAGGTATACTTGTATGCAGTGTAGCCATTTATCTCAAACTTTTATATATATATTCTTTTCATCAAATATGTGATCAATCTAGATACACATGCGCTGGTTGAGGAGAAGAGGCTCGCTACTTGGGGAACTGAAGTTCCTGACGATTTGGTTCTGGACCAGCAAAAGCTGGCTGAAGCTCTTAAAAAGGTATCCCCTTTAACCTATTCTTGGTGATTTTGAAGCGCCACTCTTCTTGGCTTCTTGCACTTCATGATGATGAATTAACTCAGTTTCCTCTTCTTCTTTTTGGAAACATAATGTAATTTCTTTTTCTTTTCCTTGTTTACAAAGAATGATAGTGGAAAAGTGTGGGTGGTGGTTGATATGCCTGACTGAATCCATGCTTTAATCTCAGTTGGCTCTAGCTCACATGTATATCTGGATGGTCTAACACGATCTTAAATTTGTATTTCTTGTCCGAGCAGGAGGATGAAAAGAGAAGAGAAGAGAGGGATGAAAGGAAAAGGAAATACAACGTGAAGTACAATGACGAGGTACATGTAATTCTTTGTTTTTATGTTTCCCTTCTTTTCTTTTGGGCTGTCTTACCACATTTCTCTATGTAGGTTACACCGGAAGAAATGGAGGCCTACAGAATGAAGAAGGTCCTCCATGACGATCCAATGAGGGACTTTTTGCACTGAGTTAAACAGAAGAGACAAGTCCTGTGCTGCTTGGGTGGCAGTGCACCTTTATAGGTAGCACTTGCCATTTGCATACCCAGGAGAATGAATCCGTTTGTCAGTTCTTTGATTTGGTTTGCAATGCTATTAGTAAAATACACACCATCCATTATACTAGTTAGTTAGGGTAAATAAAGGACTTACACGTCTTTGGATGATTGACACTCCTTCTGCGCGTATGTGTATATATAATAATATGTGTTGCTTCAAACCCACTTTTTTCTTATTGCAATATAATTGCTGTCAAGTGTTGTACATACGCACTGGGTTTTGTGAGATCATATTTACTACTCTTTTCTCTTTAATAGCTCCAAATTTGAAATATCTAGCGTCAGAACTCTTTAATTCCATCATTTTCATTTTATTTTTTATTTTTATTTATCTACACTGGATAAAGATTTGAATTTGAATCATTCAAATTTTATTCACCAAGTTATTTGTTTTCAAGTCTCAAATTATAATACTAATTATTTAGACATTAATTACTAAGTTTATTTTCCTTTACACTATAGACCACCACTATCAATCACCGTAGCTTGTCGTAAATTACTACCACCATTATCACATATCTTTTACCTACAAGGAAATCATATTATTAATTACCACGGTTACTAGGTTTAATTGATTGTTTGTATATTATAAATGGAATTCAAACTGACACTACAGCATAACCCACAACGGTCCATATATATTTATTTATTTATTTGAGACGGACAACGGTCCCTATATAAAGAAAAAGAAGATTGAAAGGAAGGGATAAATTATTCGTGCAAGGTAAGCTATCCTCCACGTCCACGTGGGACTGTCATTAGCTACAAACAAACACCTGTTCCATCATGAGTAATATAAGTAACATAAAAGCAAATAAAGTTAAAAACGGTGAAAGTGATAGCTTCAATAAAAGCAAGCAACTTCAAAATTGCACCACTTTCGAGGACGACCAAAAGATGGATGTGTTTTTCTTCAGATCCAAATATACATAACTTCACTAAAGAGTTTTGAGGTAACTGCAAAAGCTCCAAAGAAAATGCTGAAGAATCGTTTGGCTCTTCTAGTGCTCTTATTTACTTATTACTTCTACTTGGGAGATTTCAATGTATCGGCTCAACAGTTTAGACCTGGATTTGTGTACACCAGAAACAGAGGAAGATGCACTCCTCAGTAAGAAACCCTTCTTCTTTCTACTACTCTATCACTAATCTAAAAAGTAGATAAAAACCTGTTATTTTGCTATTGGTGAATAGGTATTGGAGCAGCAGAAGAGAGTCATGGCCAAAAATGGTACCACAGACATCGACAGTATCTAAAATATTTGGATCCAGGGCCTACGAGCGATACAGGTATGATCTAACACTGCTAGAAGCTGCTGGAAGAAACGACGATGGGGATAATGTATTTGCCAGATTAGTGAAGCAATCAACAGCTGCATTGTTGAATTCATATGCCAGACACAATTATCCCTACAGTGCTTGGGAAGTAAAGACCATGCTCATTCAAGCTTTGGTTTCTGAAAAATCTGCTTCTCTTTTGGCTCAACAGTTATCTCAAGCTAATGAAGCCTGCAACTAATTACCTTCTTGTTGATTGTTACTTAGCTTTTCCAGTTTGGTATTAAGCTGTAAGGCACATTTTTGAACATTAGTTCTACTTATGTTCGGGTGCTATTATAACATTATCATGCTTGACGATTCTCAGACTAAATCATCCTTTCATGTAACATAATTCGTTTCATGCGCTCTAAGTGACGGGTGGTTAGGAAGATTTCAAAGCAAAGAAGTAGTTCTTCAAATCATAAGTACTAAAATACATTCAGATACTAGCCACTCTATTGGCGTGTAGCAACAGCGTTGTGAAACTTCAAACGACTGGGAACATGTATGTATGTATATAATGTTAAAGATCACTTATATACCAATCTACACTACATTTGAACTGTTATATTAACCACCACCAAATATCTAAACATCGGTGAACTACGAACAAGAGGTTGGACTTTCACGATTCCCTGTACTTGGTCAGATCAAATGTCAATGTGCTCGAGCAACTGCAAGAAGAAAAAAGAAAAAAAAGAAACAGCATGTTGACGTTATCATCATAAGTAAGAAGAGACAAGGGAAGTGAGTGATAGAGAGGCTGCAGAATCTTACCCTCTCTCGGCATCCCTGTAAACACCAACCAAAGCTTCAGCTTTGTCATAAAAGCTGTCTTTGAGAGAGATAACAATGCTTTGGAAGCCACATCCTTCTTCAGGATCCTGAGTAAGCCTAGCACCTCCACACGACTTTGATCGAATGAATCCAGCAACTTTGGCAACATTCAGATTATCCAATGCAGCATCAACTTCATCCAGTATGAAGAATGGAGAAGGTCTAAAACTGAAAATCACACAAAAAAGTGTGAAACATTTTTTGCACAAGTTCAAATTGGAAGGAAATAAGATAAGTATTATCACTAGGACAATATCTACAATGCGCTCACGCTAGCTGATATTTGCATATCAAGTGGATGTAAACTGTGCCAAATGAACATAGTAATTTCTGAGACTAAAACAAGTATTTCCCTACTTCCTGCTGGCACAATGAGTTCGCGAGTAGCCACATAGATTACCTGTGGATAGCAAAAAGCAATGCAAGTGCTGCAACCGTCTTCTCTCCTCCTGAAAGCTGTTCCATATCCCGAAATCGTTTTGTTGGGGGCATAGCGGTATACTTGATACCATGTAAAAATGGCTCATCTTCATTATCCAAGTTAAGATATGCTGTCCCACCGAGAGGATGTGTATTGCTCTTTGTGAGTTGCTTGTATATCTTGTCGATTTTGCCAGATATGTGATTGAAAGCTTTCATAAACAACTCACACCTGCAAGCAGAACATGCAGACTTCACCAACAACATATTGTTTAATCCCACAAGTAGGGAACATACAGACTTCAGATCAACAAAATACGATAACAGATATGGTAGTCAACTTTTGCTATTTTTTCTACAGGATTAGAATATAAAAGGACTATCCCACCATTCTACATCTAATCAAAGGCAACAAATATCCCTAAAGACCACACCAAAGACGGGAAAAAGAGAAGGGACCTACAAATAGGAGTATATTGTCTCATGCACATATCAAATAATCAAGAATATGGCCACAAAGAGTGCAAGAAAGAACACACTTCAACAAAAAAATTGAAATAAAAAAATACATATATGCTTCAGCAATACGTAGATTTTTCTAGTTCTTTCTTTTATTTTTTTTGGTGCCTCATGTGTCTTTTCCTGTAGATCCTTCATCCTTGCAAAGGATAATATAAGGATAGATGAATTAGAGATTGGTTTTAATAGAAGATCAATAAACGTGATCTCAATCACATGGATCTCAAAGACTTATCAAAAGCAGAATTCCCTTTCCAGAAAATTTTAAAAACCCCATTTATAAAAACATTAATTGAAGCAGGGATTGAACAACCGTAAATAAGCAAGCATACATAGATCAAACAATTCTATAGGGTAATGCTCTCCTGACAGCATACTACTGTAACCTCATCTCCAACAAGTAGAGTAACCACTTCACTTGATTTATACTCTGACGTTCAGGAATATCATGGTGAAATTATATAGAGATACATGTGAATTTCAGCATTTGAGATTAATAATACCTGGCCCCTTTAACTCTATTAAATTCATCAGTAACTTTCTTCTCCTCATTTTTGGCCACTTCAAATTCTTTATTAACATCTTCCTCTTTTTTCAGTAGATCTTTGTATTGATCAAGGGCCTTCAGATTTGGAGCTGTTCTTTCTATCTCTGACATCAAGGAAGCAATTTTCTGAGTAAAATCCACCTCACGTTTCTCCCTTTCAGCGGGTTTCGTAATCTGCTGATACATTCTATTCAGTTTACTGAAATCGAAAACAGGGCCAGGTGTAGACTCTCCAATATCCATTGGATCAGAGATAGTGGGCAGTTCTATTTGCTCCAGTTCGCATTTCTCCAATATTTCCTGCTTTTTTGAATTCAGTTGTTCAATCTGTGCCTCCTGTAAAACAAAGAACAAAAGCACTCATATACTCGTATTTTTAAGAGGAAAGCACTTGCCTACTCCTTTTCAACATATATGAATGCAATTGGCAAAAATGAGTGGCTTCTCAGAAGCCATGACTAGTATAAGAAAGAACTTCTCCAAGAAATTATCATTGATCAGAAAAACCTTTGATTTAATTTGACGGTTATGTTTGCTAATGCTAGTTGTTTCAGCAGAAATCTTTTTCTGCCACTCCTGCAGCTGCTTTTCACACTCTTCTGATTTGGACCTCCATGCTGCAGAAAAGAAAGGAATAAAATTCTCTTAATGTACAACATATTGGGAGAAAGGGACATATTGCCTATTGCATAGTGCGAACATAGGAAACGGAATGACTAATACTGGGCATTCAGTTGCCTGACATGACCAGAAAAGGTATATTCAAAGGAGGAGATGAAATATAATTGAATTGGAAGTGAATGTATAACTAGTTAATTACCAAAATCAGGAAGTGATACTCCCTCTTTACCAATTTATGCGAACACAGTTGCATTTTCGTTAAGTCTCAGAAGTTCTTTTTTTTAATAGGCAAGAACTATTAATGTTTAAAAAAAGCACTAAGAAAGTGCTGTGATAACATCCAAAAATTGCAGAAGAGAAGTTTACCCTGTCTATTTATACAGAGTTTCTGTGCACTGTAACAGGGTTTCAGCATCTTCAACTAATACCAATTTGCACCAAAAGGAAGAAAGCATGACACCAAAACAATAGCTCCAATTCAACTTCTCATGTTTCAAAAATGTGAACAGGAAAAAAAATTGTTTGAAGTATCATGCAATGCTATTTTCCATGTTTTAGACTAATTAGAAATTGGCAGTTGTTGCTGTGATCTGATTTATCATAAAAGAAGCAGAACATGGTAGAGTTTCACCCTATCAAAATATGCACTTTATCTGATGAGGCTTTTACAGAGTTTGGAGAAGTAATCTTTTGTAATACTTCTACAAAGGAAGTACAAGCAGAAATATCTAGTCCAACAAGACTGAAAAGCTAGTGAAAGGGGTCTACAAAAAAGTGAAACCTAAAGCATACCTAATACTTCTTCCTTGTAATCGTCTATCTCCTTTGTAGCTTTCTCCATGGACGACTTCAGATCCGCCTCCTTGGTCTCAACCTCCTTTAATTTCTCTTTTAAGTTATTAAGGGTTGATTCCAGTTTTACAATTCGTGAATCCATGTCCCGCTTCTGCTCATATTCCAACCTGAAACATGCTTGAATTAAGAAAGTGGCATGTGCCATAAGCCCATAACTAGGCCGAAAATTAACAATGCAACTTTTAAAACCGTAACGAGCTTTCAATATTATTATTAGCTTTATAGCTCAAACAATTGATGCGGACAGCAAAATACTCAATGAAAAGCAAGTTCAATTTTTTTTTTAAAAGATGGACGCTTGTTTGGCTTAAGGGCAGAGAAATATGATTATGAGAAACAGTATCAAAATGTCAGATGATCAGGTCGAGGTCGGTGTCTATTTATCTTTGAATTTATTCTAATGGTTATAAGGAACCGACAACATTAATCAGAGAGGAAACATACTGTGACTTAAGCTTCGATTGTTGATTATGTAAATTGAGCCTTTCTTCAGACATTTCCTGAACAGCTTTGAGCTGATTTTCTTCATACTCCCTAATATTTCTCACCCCAACGGATTCACTGAACTTTTTGTAGATTCTGTCAACAATGTCATTGATCCTTTTCTCTCGTGATAAGATCTCTTGTGCCCTTGCATCAATTTTTCTGTTCAACTGCAAAAACTCCTAGTAAGAGCCATGTTACAAAATGAAAACCAAAGAAACTAAGATAGGAAGTATAAACACCTGCTCAAGTTCAGGCTGGATATGTCCAATTTCATTTTCAATACTCCCCTTTTCGCGTTCCAAATTTTGAAGTTTGTCTGCAATACTTTTCTGCAAGACAAGTCAAGCTAACAGCATTACAAGATGCAGAACATAGACAAATGAAAAGGCCAATAAGCAACAGTATATTAACAGGGATACAGAATTAATAAGCTATGAAAGAAGTGAAAAGCTAGGGCAAAAGACACCACGAGTGTTGAGCCACTATGTTGCTCAGACTCTCCAAAAATGTTGTAAACAGAAGTAGATCCAAAGTGTAAATAAAGTTTATTTTTCAAAGAATTTGAACATTTGGAAGTATAAATAAATGTGAGTATGTCATCTTCTTTACCATAATGTATCAAAGAAGAAGTGAAGAGTACAGACAGAGTTCCTTCTTCAGAAATTGTCCATCAACAAATAAGTTGCAGCAATAAATCAGTCGAGTATAAAAGTAAAACTTTAACACCTTTTCAATTCCAAAGTGCCATCAACTTGATGAGCAACTAGATTGAGACTGAAAGAACCAATCAACATGAGGATATGGTGCTCAGGTGGCCCTAAGAACAAAATCCTAAGGTCTGTGATCATAGGAATTGATTATTAAGCAATTGTTTATCCTTATTTATATATATAAACTAGTTACTCCCCACAAAGAAACAAAACAAGCTATACTATTGGCGGTCCTCACTAATAGCTTACTTCAGTCTGTTTAATGCTGACATGAATTGATTAGACAGAGTTTCACAGTCCACTTGACTTGTGTATTAACAGCA